ATCGAATGCGTTAATTCGTCAAAATCCCAAAAAATTCATTTTAGATAAAAAACGCCTTGATAAAAAGGTTTGCACAACAAGGAAAACTCATCGAAACGATTTTGTATTTTGCATCAGGAAAAAAATTAACGTACCCTGCGCCATTTCCTGGCAGCCTGAACATCGGCGTAGCCGCCCCACACATCTACCACTTTTTGGCCCCGGTAGTACACGGTTAGTGCGGCACCGCCCTGCTCCCAGCCATCTATGAAATTTTGTCTGCAATTGTAAACGTGCATTTTCTGGAAACGATTAATGTGGTTTATCCCAGAACTAAAACAATTTACACTGTAATAGCAATATCAAATTTTGCTTCGTTTTTGACATAATTTTCGCACTTGAAAACATACCTGAACACTTCAAGAATCGACTGAAACTGTGGATCCAGATCGTCGGCATCGAAATAATGTGGCAATTTCGTATACAGATTTTTTCGGACATAAATAAACGCTGCATAAGCGGCGATTAAAATTGCAATAAGATTGAGTTTAGTTGGAAAGATCATGGAAAAGTTTTAAAACACAGAAGTAATATTGGTTACACAACGGCTTATCGATAAGAGCAGCAGCTGGTAAAAGATTGGAGGAAGCGGGGAGGGGTAAAAAATTCGGAAGGTCCTGGAAAATGCGAAAAGGGGAGGGGGCGAAAATCAACAGGGCCGAAGTGCATAGCGAACGCAGTGCACTTTTTCCGTCCGTTCAACAGCCAGTTCGAATTGAAGCTGATGTCATAATCTGAGGGCGCTAAAATGCTACGCAGTCGACAATTAGCGGATTATATTCGCTGCACGCACTGAGACAGTTTTTTTGCAGACCCAAACTGGTCCTACGAAATCATGGTTCACAAGACAAAAGAAGAAAAGACAATTTTGTGTCCAAAAGTCAATTTTCAGTAATACGAAGATTGCCAGGAGTAGGACAGCGGCCAATCAAAGAAAACAGAACCTGAGTACTTCTGCAGTGGAGTTTAAAAAAGAAAGTGCCGGAGATCAAGTCCTTGTGCCTTTTTAAACATTGAGCACTAAAAGTTCGAGCTCACATACGCTCTCCTAATGATGCTTTACAATCCAGAGCTTCACATTCATCTCACTGTTGTTGACTGGGTAGCGTTTTAACCTCAGCTTACAATGATTGACTGTTATTACGCAGAATCGTGTGCTTCTCAGAGCGCCTGTCTTTTCGGGCACATTAGTGAGGTTAAAACGCTACCAAGTCAATACCAGAGAGATGATTTTGAAGCTCTAGATTGTAAAGCACCATTTGGGAAGCATATAGGGGACCTTCCCCACTAAAATACGGAATCGTAAAAACATTTCTTTTAGCTGGTAGGATTGGGAACAGAGAAATTTTTGCTAAAGTATTTCGGCAGTACAAAGATAACGCATCAGCAGTGAATCGTAATTCTTATGCATTTTTATGTATACAAATTGCAATCCAAGTTGGAACGCACCGGGCCGGTCCGCGCGATCATATGTTTTTGTACTGGACTTGAAGTACTCAGGTCATTAACTGCAAGAATGGTTGTTGCTTTACACCTACCTTTTGCCCCCATTAGCATAAATCACCACAAATTTTGCATAAAGTAAATGTACAATTTCCATTTGACCATCGTTCTTTAAAAGTAAACTAGTTGTTCAGTGAGAAATTTTTCGGCCAAAACTTTTAAATGTTCGTACCTCAAGGTTGAATTTGGAATATTTAAGTTGCACTGGACAGGGCATAATCGAGAAAGCTGGCAGTGGGCACTCCACGTGCTTGGGAAGCTAAATTTGAAATTTTTAAATTGCACATGAACAGGGAACATCCCCTTAAAATTTCAGCCTTCCAGCTTTTCTGGTTGCCGAGTTAACAATTCTCCTGCCAAATCTTTCACGTGCTCATACATAAGAACCGCGCGCACCTGAGGGCTGGATATGAAATATTTACGCTGTACATGGACAGGGGATATTCCCCAAAATCTTAGCTTTCTAGCTTCCCTGGTTCCCGAGTTAGCAATTTTCTTGCCAAAATTTTCATACGCTCTTACATGAGTACCATGCACACCTGGAGGCTGAATTTGAAATCTCTAGCTAACACATGCACAGGAAACATCCCTACAAAGTTTTAGCTTCTTACCTTGTCTGGTTTTCGAGTTCACTTTCCTGCCAAAAAATTTTCACATTTTTTTAAAGCGTCCTTACGCGGCACCCAAGCGTCTACGGGAGATGGTATTAAAACAGGAGCGTCGCGCTTGATATGGGCACATGCTCCCAAAGTTTCAGCGTTCTAGCTTTTCTGGTTCTTGAGTTGAAAGTGGGTGACAAAAAGTGCGAACACACAGACACACACACAGTCTCTTCCCAATATGCGTTTTTGCAATTTGCATATATGCAAAAACGTATTAAAACGCACATTGCAACGACCCTGTTTATGTGTGTGTGTGCTCGTCTGTTCGGATATTTCCACTCGGCAAGCAAGCTCCAGAGCCGAGATTTTGCCAGTTGGTTCCCCAGCCATGTGTCATCCCAGAATCGCGGTTCCTACTCACCGGCGCGTCTGAGCTCCGCTTGCGAGAGCGTGAAAATTTTGGCGGAAGGACTGATAACTGGGAGACGAGAAATGCTAAAAGGCTGAAACTTTGAGGTTATTTTCTCCGTCCACATAGAACTCAAGATTTTGAATTCGGGTCCCAGGTGTGGGTGTTTCCCGCGTACGGTCACGTGAGAGTTCGTGGCGGGAAAACCGCTAACGTGGGAACCAAGAAGGCTAGGAGGCTGAAATTTTAAGGGGGATTTTCCCGCCCATGTACAACTTAAAGATTTCAAAACTAGCCCCTAGGTATGCTCCCAAGTCACGTGCGGCCAGCTAAAGTTTAGCGAGAAAATTGCTGACAAGTGAGTCGGAAAAGCTGGAAAGATGAAATCTTAAGAGAATATTTCCTGTCCGAATAAAACTTAAAGATTGCCTTTGGCCGGGCGCATCCTTCTTGTTGAGGTCAGCAAACCAAAAAAATAATAGCGTAAACCAAGTTATTTCTCCGGTAGACCGCCCACGGATGTTTTAGCTGAACAACCGGGTGGTCATGGCTTAAAGCAACTTTTCCGCATTGATTTACATGGTCGCATTTTTAAAATTGCAGAAATTAAGAATAACATTCGCTATTGCACACATGCCTGCGGCGGCATTTGCATGTGCTGTCGTGTGATTCTTTCTGACGAATTGGTGCAGTGCTCCGTCACCGGCTCCCGTTTCGTCCCCTTGTGCAATCCCGATGATTTGCTTAGTTGCAAGAAAGCAAACATGATTTACATAATTACTTGCAGGGTCTACAATGGTATACAATACGTAGGTCAAACCAAGCGAACTCTACAAACTTGAGCAAGGGAGCATAAATATAACGTTGTCCGCAAAACAAACACAGTCTTTTACAATCACTACCGGTTGCCAGGGCATGGACTAGACTCCATAGACATTGGAATCGTCGAATGTGTTGACAGTTCTGCTAGTAGCTTACTTTAACGGGAGCTTACTTTAGCTTACTAGTAGCTTACCTTAATATATTAATTCATTTTAAGACTCACTTTCGCAACTACTGTGCGCAAACGGCTATACGCAATGGACTGCCAGTTTACTTCAACATTACCAACTCACTAACTGTGACTAGTAGCTTACTTTAACGGGAGCTTACTTTAGCTTACTAGTAGCTTACCTTAATATATTAATTCATTTTAAGACTCACTTTCGCAACTACTGTGCGCAAACGGCTATACGCAATGGACTGCCAGTTTACTTCAACATTACCAACTCACTAACTGTGACGCAAAAGCTCGCCACACTAGGCAGTACTGTCGAATATTTTTATGCTGCAAACTTTAGCAACCTTTTCGCCAATCTGCCTCATTCTTACATTATTGATAATCTATTTTACCTCATTGAGCTCTGCTTCACCAATGCGGGAAAAGAATCTTTGATTTAAGTAAAACCCAAACTTGGTACGCTAACGAATTCGCAGGTAATGTCATATCTTATACTAAGGATGAAGACAAGGCGATCCTTCGAATCATTCTTCAAGAAACATACATATGTTTCAGTGGTTACATTTTCAGGCAAGTACAAGAACCAATGGGCGGTAATGCTATGGAGTATCGATTTTTTTTTTGTCATGGAGTATCGATTCCTTCGTAAGAACCCCGGTATTCATCTTCATCTCTTCCGATATAACGATGGCATCCTTATTGTTAACTGCGCCAACTTTGCTGAAATTGCTAGTAACATCTATTGGCCCAGCCTGCAACTCAACACCACTTACTCTGGACAAAGGACTTCCTCCTTAGACCTCGAAATTTCATGCCGACAGGGCAGATGCATTTTTATGCGTTTTTTGCAGCAATGCAATGCGAAAAACGCATACTGACGAGAGGTTGTCTGTGTCTGTGTGTGAGTCTGTCACGGTCTTTCATCTCAAGACCTACAAAAGCTACGGGGCTGAAATTTTGAGGACTTAATCTACATGCACGTACGGGTCCCAATCCCCAAAACTGGCGCCATACCCCGCGTGGTACCT